CCAAAATATCGTACTACAACATCAATCTCTTCACATTGCGTTCAATAACATTAACATATTTAAATAAGCTATGGTAATTTGAACACGTTGGCATCATCCAGCTTTTTGATTGGTTAATTAGCGATTTGACCTAAGAGAACATGGCGGATATCCTACAGCATCAAACGTTTATAGGAGACCGGAATCATTCGCTTACGATGAAACTTAGTTGACTTTTATTTGTATTTCATAACCATTCAACAAATTTATTTTGTGTACATTATTATAATCACTACTGAGTACAGTAATAATCAACAATTCAGAAACGCAGCATGCCGAGATTTTTGTGTTCGTTTTTATTTGAAACTTCGTTTATTTAGAATATATTTTCGTTACCAATAAAATAAAAATCTCTCAGTCAATCAGAAACCCGGATTCATGCCTTTGAGGAAGGTCCCGTTTGAACGCTCACATCTGTTTTTTTTTTCGTTTGGGGGAAAACTAAAACTGGTCGCAATTTTCGAATAAGAATGAGTCGGCAATTTTTAGTGGAGTCGAAAATTTGGAGGTAAATAAAACACCGAAACCCGGCAAATAAATAGGCGGTCAAATTTTTAGAGGGGTCGAAATTTTGGAGTTTTCACGGTGCTAATTATTCCATTTCAATGAAACTAAGTACAAAGATGCTCTAGGACAATGTACAAACCTAATTAGTTTGGGGTAAAAATCTGTTCATATTAATTCCCTAATAAGCATAATAATTCATAATTTTTTGGTTCTAATCACATTTCAATTAAACTTGGAGACATAGATTTTCTGTTACATTGCGCAGACCTCATTAGTTTTACACTCAAATCTGGTCATATTAATTTTCTGATTTGCATAATTAGTTTTCAGCTAAGTAATTTCGAATTATATTTAATGTGTCTCCAATACTCTCAGCACATGGGAGTTCTTTCTAAGCTTTCTTTGATATACAGATGATGTAAAAAAAAAAAATAGAATTACCGGTACATTTGCCCCTTGATACAAACTCTTTTGGCTTATGCCAGTAAACCTACAGTTTATCATAGTTGGATTGTTGCTAATAAAACATGGGGCATTATCTCCTTGAAATATTAATCATGTGAAACAACAGGGATGTTTTGTAAATTCGAGCACATTTCTTACCAATGAACTGACAAGCCGCTTCAAATTTTGAAAAAAGGTCTGATTCATCGTCATCAGGGACTGGTATGTGCAATAAATTGTCAGTGTCTTCTGGTGAAAAACTGTAATAAAGGAAAACAACGCAGATTAGTAAATGTACAAGTGACAGTCGGTAATTCACATTGTCATGTCAGTGACACACCTGCAACCATCTGTCACAGGTAAAATCTGCTGGTCTAGGACAGGTGGGTCTGGTAATTTCTGCAACCACCTGTCACAGGTAAAATCTGCTGGTCTAGGACAGGTGGGGTATGGTAATTTCTGCAACCACCTGTCCCAGGTAAAATCTGCTGGTCTAGGACAGGTGGGTTTGGTAAGTTCTGCAACCACCTGTCACAGGTAAAATCTGCTGGTCTAGGACAGGTGGGTATGGTAATTTCTGCAACCATCTGTCACAGGTAAAATCTGCTGGTCTAGGACAGGTGGATCTGGTAATGTCTGCAACCACCTGTCACAGGTAAAATCTGCTGGTCTAGGACAGGTGGGTATGGTAATTTCTGCAACTACCTGTCACAGGTAAAATCTAGTGGTCTAGGACAGATGGGTTTGGTAATTTCTGCAACTACCTGTCACAGGTAAAATCTGCTGGTCTAGGACAGGTGGGTATGGTAATTTCTGCAACTACCTGTCACAGGTAAAATCTGCTGGTCTAGGACAGGTGGGTCTGGTAATTTCTGCAACCACCTATCACAGGTAAAATCTGCTGGTCTAGGACAGGTGGGTCTGGTAATTTCTGCAACCATCTATCACAGGTAAAATCTGCTGGTCTAGGACAGGTGGGTCTGGTAATTTCTGCAACTACCTGTCACAGGTAAAATCTGCTGGTCTAGGACAGGTGGGTATGGTAATTTCTGCAACCATCTGTCACAGGTAAAATCTGCTGGTCTAGGACAGGTGGGTCTGGTAATTTATGCAACTACCTGTCACAAGTAAAATCAGCTGGTCTAGGACAGGTGGGTCTGGTAATTTCTGCAACCACCTGTCACAGGTAAAATCTGCTGGTCTAGGACAGGTGGGGTATGGTAATTTCTGCAACCACCTGTCCCAGGTAAAATCTGCTGGTCTAGGACAGGTGGGTTTGGTAATGTCTGCAACCACCTGTCACAGGTAAAATCTGCTGGTCTAGGACAGGTGGGTATGGTAATTTCTGCAACTACCTGTCACAAGTTAAAACTGGCGGTCTAGAACAGGTGGGTCTTGTAACTTCTGCAATTACCTGTCACAGGTTAAATCTGCTGGTCTATTTTTTTGTATAAATTCCACACTTCACAATTACAATTAATTACACTTAGAAATAATAATTTAACGAATAAAAAAATATATTAACCGATTAAAAAAATTCCCTGGTCTTCTGTTTTTATGTTTATCTAACATTATATGCAGCCCATACACTACATTGATGAACATAAAAAACTAAGGAACACTTTTAACTTACAATTGGTCATTTTGTAATGTAACGTTAATCCTTGCTTTGATCTTTAAGTCTTTCTGTACAACAGCACTGCATGACTGTTCTAGATTGCCAAGGTACACTTGACCCGGAAGTACTTCAATGGGGTATGTTTTCAGTGCATCTAGTTCTTGCGGCATATAAATGATTTTCTGAGTTCTGAGGAATGGATAGAGTGCTGAGAAATCTTCATATCCTCCTCGAAGGACCTTGACTGGATTTTTACTGCCCATTTCAGACATGATGTGTCCACAATCTAAGGCAAGTCCTAGGAATGAGAAAGAACAGCAGACAGAAACTGTTATATTTAATGTATTTCTGGTTCATTTAATTAATACAAAAGCCATATATACTGGTACTTGCATTGTAGGAAAAAATTGTAATCAGGGAATCGATTAAAGAGATGTTTTAAGTCTGTCTGGTTGAGAGCAAAAGCCTCGTTAAAAGCATGAATCAATATGCTATTGGAAGTCACAATACAATTTTGGAAAAAATACAGCATTGGTTGCCTCTGGTGAAAAGTATGCTCTCAGATACGAAATGTTACAAATGTGCTGAGTTTGCAGTTTGAAATTCATAGAAGAATCTAAATAAAATTTATATTCTTTCCATATATTTTTCCTCATATTTCTTAAGTACAGTTGTGGCGATGAAATTGGGTTTAGTTGACATTCTGGAGTGTAAGCTGTCAATACATATACCAGTAATGTCATCGATCACTTC